CACAACCCAACTTCGATCGTCAATCAATCATCAAAATAGCAATAATCCATAAAGAAATTGCAAAATCTCCAAGGCAGCTCACAGTTACATAAAGGAGATATTGCTTTGTTCGTTTTCTTTTTCTCTAGAGAATGAGAAAAAGAGATGGAAGATGATGGAGGTGAGGCGCTAGGGTTGTTGGAGGTTGTTAGATTTTGGGGTTGCCATGTCTAATCAAGAAGAAACCCTAGATTAAAAAGAAACGAGAGAAAAAAAACTCTAGGCTTTATAAAATTGATTAGAGAAAAAACCCTACAGTAACCCAGATTTCAAATTTCAAATTTTGATTTTTTATGTTTAATGTAAATTGACCATCGTAGCCTTACTTATAAAAGACTTTTGACCATTCTACCCTTCTTCAGAAGGAAATTTATTAATAGATCTGGTTTGTGAGTGAGAAAATGTCATTTTAAAACTTTTTGGGTGGAAAAGTGTTATTAAGCCAAACCTTGGATGGAATTAACCAAATTCGTTTAGTTATAGTTGATATTCATAAATTCACTAATCAAATAAATTACTTTTTAGCGAGTTTATTCCATTTTTTGATTTAAGACAAGTCTATCTAAACGGGTTGACTCTTTACTCATAATTAGACCTGGCAAACGGGCGGGTGTACCCGCGGGTCAACGGGTACCCGTACCCAATGGGCGGGTACGGGTAAAAAATATTTCGACCTGTGAAAAATTGACCCGTACCCGGCCCGCCCGTGGCTTTTGCGGATGGACCGGGTACTACCCGCAGACTCGCAAATTCAAAATTAAAAAAAAAATAAAATAAAACTTATGACTCATCTCATCAGTCGTCAGTCCTCTCACAGTCTCACTCTCAAGTCTCAACTCAAACCCTAATCTAAACCAAAATAGCAAAACTTATCAGAGTAAAAAACAAAAAACGCAGCAGCCATTCTCTTCCACAGCAGCTCCACTGCTCCAGTCCTCTCACAGCAGCTCCACTCCCTCACTCTCTCACTCTCACAACAGCTTCACTCTCCCTCATTCTTTGACTTCTCTAACGGCAGCAGCAGGCGCCAGCAGCAGCAGGTCACGGCAGCAGCAGATCTCACTCACAGCAGCACCAACACGGCATCAGCAGATCTCCTCTCATGGCAGCACCAGCAGGGCAGCAGTCAGGTCAATGTGGTCTCTTAATTCAAACCAATCTTGTAAAGACGAATTGAAAGTTTGAAACTGAAAGAAGAAAAGACAAATCTTGCGTGACAAAAAACTGCTCTGTAGGCTGTAGCTTTTTACTAATTTTGTTTTTGTTTTGAAGAAGACGACTAAGACGAGTACCAAGAACAACTGTTTAATAGTTGGTATCTGTAACCAAACGCAGCGTTTTGGCAGGACAGACACTAAAACGCTGCGTTTGACTTACTTAGATATAATTACAAGCACACCCTCCTTTGTTTACAACCTTGCAGATTACTCCTACATCCTATCTAATATGCACCAATAATNATGTGAGTATAAGGTACTTTAAGAGTAAAGAGAGAGAGAGAGAGAATGAGCACTAGAGAATGAAGAGAAAAGAGAATAGAGTAGGTTATGCGATGGGGAACCCGTGAGTAATGGGTAGAGTTTCCCGCATGTACGCCGCATTGAGAGAGCGGCATGAGTATGAGAGAGAGAAAAGTGGTGTAGCCCGTGAGAGTGCATGCGGATGAGGGCTATACCCGAGAGTACCCGAGAGAGAGATTATATATTCACATGGCCAAGGGTTTCGAATCCATGCATAACCGAGTCCGATCGGCTAAAATGAGTAGAAGTCACGTAGAGTGGGAGCGAGTCCTGGCCGTGCCTCCGGTAAGATGAGGCGGTGACTACTAAAGAGAGTTAGTAAAAAGAGTTATGTGAAAGAGAGAGTAAATGAGAATTGTAAGGAAAGAATTAGAGAGAGATAGTTACGGGGATAGATGTGTAGATGATTTACTTACTGAGCATTAGTTGTGCTCACCCCGTTGTTTTTCATGTTTTGCAGGATCTAGGTGAGGACACGGTCGGATGGGCGTCGGCAAGCGAAGGGAAATGGCTACACTGTCCACCCTGTTTTGATGTTTTGTACATGATACAACTTTTTGTATTTAAAGAATGTATATATTTAATAAAAGAAAAATTTGGACCCTACCTTTTTATGCTATTTTAGATGTATTTTATTATGTACATGTTTTATGAGTATTTGAGTAGAAAGCGGCTATTACATGAGCCGTAGATTTTATGGCTCAACTCAGCTCGTAATGGATTTAAGGGTATTTAGAGCCGGCTCGCAAGCCAGCTCCAAAAAAATCAATTTTTTTTTTTTTTTAAAATTTCCTAGGCAGTGGGCTGGTAGATTGCAATTTTTTTCTTCTCATATCCTCATACATCACCAAAAAATTAAACCTACTTAAAATAAACATTAAATGAAATGCTACTGCTATTAACAATTTATCATTCAACATACTGTATGTATTACAAATTAAGTTAAGTGAACTAAAGGTTTTTTTGTTTAGTTCACTTGGCTTAATTAAGTTTTCATCAAAATAAAATGGGGGGTTAGCATAACTATTCATCAAATGACATCCCCAACCATAAAAAAATATATATAACAGCAAAATAAAATATATAAATTGTCGAATAATTGAAATCCTCAAAAGATAGTTGGTTGTATGTCCATTGTAGCCCTACTCCTCCTATAAACAAATTAATGTGAAACACATTAAGTACAATTGTCATTTTATGTAAACTGTAAAGATGAAAATGCAAACCTGAATAGGAAACTAATAAATATAGACCTGCAGAATCCTATTGCCACAGCCAATAATTCACGGGTGAATCAACCAATTTGCTGACTCCCATCACATGACAAGATAGGAAGTTGAATCTCCAAGTTATCCTCCTCTTTCTAAAATGAAAAAGAGATAAAAATAAACTGTAGGTTAGAATAAAGTAATTTTAAATATTAAATTAAACAAAAAATATAATCAATGGAACTTACTTTGCACCCTTTCTTCACTCCATTCAAAGTGCGACACCAGTCACATCCACATAACAACATCTCCACCGTAGCTGGTGACAAAGAAGCTCGGTAGCTATCAATAACCCTACTCCCAACACTGACTGCTGACTCTGAAACAACCGTAGTGATCGGGATGGCTAGTATCTCACAAGCCATTGTAGAAAATATAGGGTACTTGGTTGAATTTGCCTTCTGATAAGAGCTTGAAAATACACATTTAGTTAGTGGTTTTTCGAGATTAATTGTGGGAAATTAGGCTTAATTTGGTAAAATTGCTTAGTATTTTCATAATTGCCTTTTACGGAATCACGGGTGTTTTTGAGTGTTTTTCAGGTTACTGGTGCTTAAATGTTATGCTCGGATGAAGAATCATGTTGGCAACAGAATGAGTGACGAGTGGAAACAAACGGATCAAGAATCAGAGTTGAATTGAAGAAGTTATGGAAGTTGAAATAAAGAGAAGATTCTAGATTATGTTCCAGCTTGAGCATGTCTCGGTATTTTGAGAATATCTTAAGCTATAGAACTCGGATTAAGACAATTCTTAGACCGTTGGAAAGCTGATTCAAAGGGCTACATTTCATATGTTTAAACTTTTCCAAATTTCATCGTTATCAAGTTCAAAAATCACCATCTCTGAAGAACATTGGAATGATACAGGAAGAAGGGTAGTAGCTACTGTGCCGCGGCACACTTTTTCCAGTAGCTATTGTGCCATAGCACAGTGTTGTGGCACAGTCACGGAAGTTACTAACTTGTTATCCCTTTTTAGGTAGGAGAATAGGGTTAAGGGTTCTAAATCAAATAGAATTAAGGAAAAACAAAACCCTAACCTTTGTGGGATATAAATAGAAGTCTTTTTACATTATTTGAGGATTCTTTGGTGAGAAGAAAGGAAGAAAAATCTGCAGAGAAGAGAAGTAATGTAAATTCTGGAGCTTTGATTCACAATATAGAGAAGTTTTCCTTGTTCTTTTCTTATAAACTCATGATGATTGTTTTAATAAATATGATTGTTTCTTTCATGTTTATTATGAACTAAATTTATTCTCTAGGGCTAAGATGTAGCCAATCTCTTGATTATGTATTGATCTTTGATTGTTAATTTTTATTAAGAATTCTTCCTAAGTTTTACTATTATTCCTAATGCTTTTGATTCTTAAGGGCCCAAGAATTGAATGAACTAATGGACTAGGTTGAGATCAAGAGATGATACTTAGTTGGTCTACGATAGTAAAACCGTAGGTTGAGCGAACGCTAGAGATAGGTTACCGCGACTTGTGAGATTTTGGTAAACTCCATAGAGCGTAATGATCTCCAATTGCTTAAATCTGATTAGAGATAATTCGGGTTAGTAATTAGGGGTTAATTTGATAATTGTTCCAGAGAAAATTATTGGAAATTTAGGGAGTTTGACCTGTAGGAAGAGCTTAACAAAATTAGCATAAGAGATCGATACATATGAATAAGAGTTGGTGTGAAATATATGCCCTAGGTCTAGTCATCTTGTTTTTACCCAAAGATTTATTTTAATTGTTCTCTTTTCAGTTTTCTTTTTAAATTTAATTGTTAATTTAATTTAGGTTTTTCTTGATAAAATTTGGATTGATCAAATTGTGATAGGATAGTTTAATTAGTAATTGATAATAGTAATTCCCTTGACTTCGATATCCGTAATTTTAAACTTTATTACTTGCACGATTTCGTACACTTTTGAAAATCTACAACACCTTCCACCACTGTAAGGCATCGAATGAGTCATGATCCCCCACACACTTATGGCATCCCTCTCCCAAATAACAGTCCAACTCAAACTTACTAGGCTCAACAGTTTCAACCACATCTAGAAAACTGCTAAAATCATCATAGGCCTGGGCTCCCTCGATCGTAGCCACCTCACCAATGGCTCCATGTCCATCCCCTTCTGATGTAAAAGCACAGACGATAGTCATACCTTGATTAGCTTAAACATACTCCTCATATAAATCATACAATGCATCCCGGACAGTCATCATATTTGCCCGCGCCACTGCCTCAGAATACATCTTAGGGAATGCCCACTGAATAACCCTCATTTTCAACCGAGGATCTAATATAGCAGCCACAGACATCAACACATTACATTCCCCCCAATATTTATTGAATTTCTCTTTCACTTTCCTAACCATTACTCTAATAAAATCATCTTCAGATTCACTTTTACCATCCAGCATACATTTCACTACACACACCTCTTTCAAGAATAAATTAGACGTTTGATAATCACTTCCTGAAATGAGTTTGGTTGAACCACTGAATACTTTTAAAATGTTGTAGACTTTCTCCCAATCCTCGTCACTCGGATTATTATGATAACTTGTATCCCTCTCTTTCAATCTTGGAAATACCTTTTTGAACTTAATTGTTGTTGCCAACATTTCATAGGCATAATTCCACCTTGTTTTACAATGGAGAATAAGTTTCCAATACGGCAATTTAAGTTGTTGGATAATCTCATAAAATACCTTAAGCCTACTTTCTGAACTGTTGATATAGAACACACTCTCATGGATGTCATCAATGATGTGCCTAATTTGATAAAGTCCATCTTAAACAATCAGGTTCAAGATGTGTGCACAACATCTTACATGAAACAGTTTACCTCCACAAAGGAGTTTCTCCAAAACTTCAAAATTTTCCTTCAAAGCCTTAATCGCAACATCATTACTTGAAGCATAATCCACAGAAATAGTATATACCTTACTTTCAATTCCCCATCCCATTAGGCACTTAAAAATGTCGTCCGCAATCTCAATACCAGTCCGGGGAGGAGGTAGATGAACAAAGTTGAGGATATGTCTATTCAGCCTCCTAGTACTATCTATCCAATGCCCAGTCAACACCATATACTCCATCTTTTGATTTCCTGAATTCCATAAGTCTATAGTCAAACTGACTTTTGTCACATTCTTCAATTTGGCCTTCTCACTTTCATATACCTTCATACAATCTTTTTTACAAGTATGACGGGAAACTGAAGTCCATTCAGGAATCCAAAACTTCATCATATTGTTCAAGCCCTCTTCCTCCACAATTGTAAATGGATGCTCATGCATGAGCACCCAATGGGCGATAAGTTCCCTCATTTTCAACATGTCAAACTTCCCACTTAAAGCTGGCAAAATAGTAGTTGCAACATCATTACCAGCACTCGAAAAACTAATATGGTGTTGCCTCATGAAAGCTTTTCTCCTTAAACACTGGCTTAAATTTCTATTAAACTGGGTGGTACTTTCGGTGTCATTAATACATTACTTTACTTTGCAATGGATATACTCTGCTTTTTTTGGTACATGTCCCTATGCCCATGACTTCTACTGAGGTTATGGTTCCTGTAGTTGTCAGACATTCTAATAACAATCAAGAATAACAAATAATTGAGCAAATGCTTCCTAATAATGTAGCAGTCAATGAACCTGTAATGGATGAGCCACATGAAGTAGTAAATGAACAATAAAAAAGGACATTAAGAAGATCTCAAAGACAAAGAAGATCTGCCATTACTAATGATTATGTGGTTTATCTTCAACAGTCATGTAATAGCCACTACTACTCAAAAGTTTATAATGAAATACATATAAAATACCATAAAGAAATTGGGCCCAAGTTTTTCTTTTATTAAACATATATACATATTCTTTACAAACATATACATTTATACACAAAATGTATAACATAAACAAAAGTCATTAAAAACATCAGGGACAGTGGAACCACTCCTCCTCGCACGCCGACATCCATCCGACAGTGTCCTCACCTAGGTCCTGCAAAACATAGGAAAACAACGGGGTGAGCACTAAACAATGCTCAGTAAGTAAATCCTCTACTCATGCTAGCCCCGTAACTCTCTATCTCTAAGTCTTTCCTTACAACTCCCCGTTCAATATCTCTTTGGGTACGTCTTTCTTTTCCTCTTTCTCTTTCTCTTAGAAACTCTTTTCTCATAACTCTTTCATAAATCACGACCCCATCTCACCGGGGGCACGGCCGGGACTCACTCCCGCTCTACGTGACCTCTATTCACTCTAGCCGATCGGACTCGGTTATGCATGGATTCGGAACCCTTGGCCATGTGAGTATATAATCTCTCTCTCTCGGGTACTCGGGTATAGCCCTCATCCGCATGCACTCTCACGGGCTACACCACTTCTCTATCTGATACTCATGCCGCGCTCTCAATGCGGCGTACATGCGGGAATACTCTACCCATTACTCACGGGTTCCCCATCGCACAACCTACTCTATTCTCTTAACTCTTAAAGAACTTATACTCACATTCTATACTAAATCTCAAGCTACTTCTCAAGTGTATAAACAAAGGTGTAGAGCTATCTCATGCTCCCTAATGCACTAATGAAATGCCAATTACAAGATTTCCTCAAAACAGTCATTCTGCACCAGTCACACTAAAACGGCCATAAATTATGCTATACACCTCGGATTACTACGGTTCTGGTCTCGTTTCAAAGCTTAGAAACAGGGCTACAACTTCTCTGTTTTGGTCTCAGCCCAGTTCAAACCGTAAGATACTCAAAAATTACTCAGAAAGTTACGGCAGTGACAGGGCAGATTTCACTTAGGCATTTCCTCAAACATCTCATGTGCATATAAACACCCTACGAAAATTACTACTAAACTTCATTTTTCTAGCCATCCAAATTGGGGAAAAACTCCCTCAATTACTCATAATCCCTGTCAAGAAAAGCACTCCCAAAAAGGATTACACAACATCTCTCAAACTTCATCTCAAACTCCATTCTCAATACACATATCAACAACACTTCTCATATTTAATCAATCCCAACTACTAAGACTAAGCACACATCTCATCTCAATTTTCAGTAGGTATACCATGTACATACATAATTAAAATAAGTCTCTACTCAAAGCTTAGTCATAACTCAACTTGGTTGGATTTACTTACCTTGTGCAAAGATGGGTTCCTTAGCACTTTTCCTTCCCTTTGTGGACTTGTCTCTTCTCTACAACTCAAAACAACCACAAGGGCAGCAACAACACAATAAGACTTCACTATAAATACAAGAAAACTCACATCTAAAGCATGAATTCTTACCTTAGGAAGCTTTAGATGAAATCTCTACTCAAAACCCCTCTTAAATCCCTTAGAACTCTTGGAAAATTGGGTGGAGAAATTGAGAGAATATGGGCAATGGAAGAGGCGGTGGAATGAAGATGAGTAAGGGCTTTCTCTACACTTTACTCTTTTTAGTTCATATTATAAGCTTCATTTCCCATTTTGCCCTTGTCCTTTCTTGAAAATTCCATCTATATCCTTTGATTCTTTACAACTACACCCCCATACAAACACAATCTCTACTAAATTTCCTTTCATTTTACTCCCCACTTTTCCTACTAATTAGGGGTAGAATGGTCATTGTGTCCCAAAAGAAGAATTCTCTAGAAAACTCAAGAATCTTTGTTTTAGGCTCTTCGCCGCGGCGAAGCATTTTTTGTCGCCTCGGCGAAATAGGGCAGAACCTACCCGTAATGCCACTTCTCCTCCTCGCCGCGGTGAAGTTTCTTCTTCGCCCCGGCGAAGTTTAAATTTCCAACTTCACCAAAACTCAACCCATTTCAAGGCAACAATTCAACCAACTCAACATACAAACTCAATTTAAGTTAAAACAATAAACTTTTAGCTAATACGACAAATCTTAAATACGTACCTCAAGTGGGATATTACAAGTCAGAATTTGACTTGGGAATGGAAGTAGATCCATATTCGTTTTCAGAAGCCCTTCAAAGTGATAATTCTGCAAAGTGGTTAGATGCCATGAAAGAAGAGTTAAAATCAATGGAATACAATGAAGTATGAGATCTAATAATATTGCCTGAAGGTTGTAGAACAGTTGGGTGTAAAGGGGTCTTTAAGACCAAGCGCAACTCTAATGGCAATATTGAACGGTACAAGGCCAGACTTGTTGTCAAAGGTTTTACTCAGAAAGATGATGTTGATTAAAACGAGACTTTTTCACTAGTTTCCTCAAAGGACTTTTTTAGAATTATTATGGCAATGGTAGCCCATTATGATCTGGAGCTTCATCAAATGGATGTGAAACTGCCTTTCTAAATGCGAATTTAGAAGAAGTTTACATGGAACAACCTGATGATCTTCTAATTGAAGGGAAAGAACACATGGTGTGTAAATTAAAGAGATAAATATATGGACTGAAACAAGCTTCCAGGCAGTGGTACCTCAAGTTTTATAATATCGTTACCACTTTTGGATTTAAGGAAAACATTGTTGATTGGTGTATATATCTAAAGGTCAGTGGGAGCGCATTAATAATTCTAATTATGTATGTTGATGACATCTTGCTTGCTATTAATAATCTTGGCAAAACCAAGAAGTTTCTCTCTAAGAACTTTGAGATGAAGGATATGGGTGAAGCATCCTATGGGCTTGGAATTGAAATTATTCGTGATAGATCAAAAGGATTGTTGGGATTGTCTTAGAAAGCTTATATCAACAAAGTTCTAGGGAGATACAACATGGATAAGTGCTATGTGAGTCTAGATCCAATTCAGAAAGGTGATAAGTTGAGCCTTAAGCAATGCCCACAGATTGAATTAGAATGCAAGCAAATAGAGCATATTCCTTATGCATGCTCACACATGTACCAAATCAGATATTAGTTTTGCGATTGGCTTGTTGGGCAGATATTAGAGTAATCTTGAAATGGATCATTGGCGAGCTGCAAAGAAAGTGTTGAGATATTTACAAGGGACGAAAGATCATAGTCTTACATATAGGAGATCCAATTATCTTGAGATAATTGGATATTCAGATTCAGATTTCGTTGGTTGTGTAGACACTAGGAAATCCACATTTGGGTATGTATTTCTGTTAGTTGGAGGAGCAGTTTTATGGAAAAGTGTGAAGCAGTCTGTCATTGCTACTTCCACTATAGAGGTTGAGTTTGCGGTATGCTTTGAGGCCACAGTTTAGGGATTATGGCTGCAAAATTTTATTTTAGGGCTTGAGATTGTCGATAGTATTGCCAAGCTACTGAAAATTTATTGTGATAAAGCCACAATAGTTTTCTTCTCTAAAAATGAAAAATATTCAAAGGGTGCTAAACATAGGGAATTGAAATATTTTGCCGTTAAAGAAGAAGTTTGGAAATAGATAGTGACTATTAAGCATATCAGCACAAATTTTATGATAACGGATCCGCTGACTAAAGGGCTATCACCAAAGACCTATACTAAGCACATTGAGAGGATGGGTATTATTGCCTGTCATGACTAATTTATGATGTGTTGTCTATATTTCTTGATTTATGTTACACTCCTCATGTTTTAGACACTCTGAGCTCTTGATGTCTTGTTTCTGATTCATATAAATTATTTTGTTGTGTGTTTCTTTATATTATGTTGTTTGGTATACATGAATGATAAAGATGACAAAATTTGCCCTTGATAAGGACATTATTGTTAGACCATTAAGAATCATTATAGATTGTTTTGAGTATAGAATTTGTAACGTGATACATGGAAAGGGACTGTGTTGATTCAATGACATACGACTGTCATGATCCTTATGGGTTCTTGCTCAATAATGTTTATATGCTGACCATTTTAAGATATGGCATTTGGCTAATTATTATTGTGTACACAATATGTATTATGAGTAATACTAGCCTTACAACGAGGCATACAAAGAGTCATACAAATAGTTAAATCTAGCCCTTGAAAGAAGGGAAAAAAAGAGAGAGAAAGAGGCAATCATGAATTTCAAGGGCTGTATTTGGCTCTTTGTATGGCTAGTATTACTCATGTATTATTTCTTAAATATAAACTTATTTAGTATGACATGGACCAAGTGGGAGAATGTTAGAAATATTTTATATTTTACATAAGTTGGTCCTTGTATTAAGGTTGTTTTTGAAATAATTAAATTGGTTAAGGGGCATGATGGTCATTTACCTTTGATGGAGATGTTACTGCAGTTAATAAAGTAACTACGGTTTGGGAGTTAATAAGACTGTTGTATATAAAGGGGTCCTCTCTCCGTTCCTATGTATGTAATTTTCTTTTTCCATCAAAAGGAAACAACTGACAGAAAGTAAAGGAATAAAAGGGAGAGATACTGCCTTTTTTCACAATTCCATAAAGAGATTACTCATGGATTCAGGTACGTATTACTCTTTTCTTA